CAGGTCATGGTCCCGGGGTCCTGGGATCAAGCCCCACATCGGGCTCCCTGCTCGGCGGGAAGCCTGCTTCTCCCTCTCCCACTCCCCCTGCTTGTGCTCCTGCTCTTGCTGTGTCTCTCTCTGTCAAATAAATAAATAAAAATCTTTAAAAAAAAATTACTCTTAAAGCATCACTTGGAAATGTTTCTCTTCTCTTTTCTCCTCTTTTTCTCCCCTCTCTCTCTCTCTCATTCTCTCTCTCTCTCGCGCTCTCTCTCTCTCTATATATATATGATCTGGGTGAAATATAAGGAGTCTTGCAACTTTATCAAAAGGTACCATTTTTCTCTAGCCCAGATAATTTTAAAATATCACCCAAAAGAAGTGTAGCTCTTACTTATATAACCTTTTGTGGGTATTGCCTTCTTTCTTCTTTGGTTTTTAAAGGCAAAAAGAAAAAAGTTTCAGGGGGTTACCTTTGATTGTGAGCTACATTAGATTTTGTACAGTGAGAAATAGATCTGGCAGCCTGTTGCTTAAAAAGAGGAGGTTTGGTATCATAGCTAGAAAGCAGGGCAAGGAGCCCTTGATCAATAAACTAGAAGGGAAATTAAGAAATCATGCAGTTCAACCATCTCATTTTACAGATGAGAAAATTAAGGCCCAGAGAAGTTAAGTGACTTGACCAAATCAACCAGTGAGTTCACTGTTGGCTCAGGTCACTGAGCGCCCCGGCGCCTCCCCATCACTCTCCCACAGCTCCCTGCCATCCCAGTCTCTGCAGAGAGCATTACTCTGCTTGGTGGCCTGTTTGCAAATCTCAGTGGAAGGATCTTGGTGTTCTTCCCAGTCACTTGGAAGTGAATCAAAACCTTCACAACAGCTGGACTCAGTTTGACACCCTTTGGTGGTGGTGATTAAAGTCCCTTGCCCGTGCTCAACAGCAGCCTAGTTAGCCCACTTGCCAATGAGCCAGTGTCTTCCCTGGATTTCAGAGAGTAAAGACTCCAGTGGAGTTCAGGCTCTAGAACAGCACACACTTACTTTTAGGAACTTGGTTGTCTGTCTCATGCTCCAACAACTAGGAATTTTCAAGTCAGAGCACTTGGTCTGAAAACCAGAGTCCTGGGCCCTACGTCAGCATGAAGCCCGGGGACATCAGGCGTAGCTGTGACGTAGCTTTCGGTAGAACATTCTAATTCAGCCTTCGTTAAAATAAGACTGTGCATGTTGCCCACCCTTTTAACGTTTCACACTTCCCAGTTTGGAAAGCTCTTTACACATCCTGATTCCATTTTAATTTTCACAGCAGACTTTTGAGTATTATCATGATTATATACAATTATAAATTCCAGGCCCAGAAAAGTTAAGTCGCTTGCCCCAGGCCTCTCAGCCAAGAGGCCGGAAAGCGTATGGGCCACCAATGAAAGCCCAAGTCAGCCTGACTCCAAATCCAGCTATCTTGAGCTGCCTTTAAAAAGTGTATTCTTTTCTACTCCTGGGTAGAGTTAGAGCTGTTTGCCCCTACTAAATACTCATGATAATTTATCTTTAGAAAACCGGTTCTCCAACAAGTCATTATTCAGAGCTTCTGCTCCTGGCGCTGCTGGTAACATTAACTTTGGATGTGCTAAGGGCATGACTCCTGTGGTCTCCTGAAGAAGGCGCTTTCTGGGGGGAAAGACAGGAAGCTTACAACCTCTGAGGGACTGAGAAGAAAGAAAAAAGGGAAGACCCACCCCACCCCCAATGAAGGGTGAAGAAATGGCTGCTGATTGCAAACCAGGGCACACAGGCTTCTCTCTCTGAGGACTGCATTCACCCAAGCCCTGGGGAGGCTCGCTGGTTGGGATAAGACAGGGGACAGGTTTAAGTTATTTACTGACTGCTGAGTGATGTGGTTCTGGGAGTAAATCTTTTTTTGAATATTTACTCTTTTCAGAGGCACCATCTATACCAGGGTTTTTAAATATGAGCCATGGATGTGCTTCCAAAAGGATGTTAACTTTCCACAGAAAGCTTTTTACTGTGCTAATTAAACTTTCCTGAGCCTCAGTTGACCCATCTGTGAAATGAAGATCTTTTTTTCTTTCTTTCTTTCTTTCTTT